TTTAGCCCAGAAGTCTAAAATAATTAACAAATAAATAAATCTAAAAACGAAAAAGAACCTGCATTGAAAATCCTTTATGTTCAATTTACACTGCGTCAAAATGGAAGATAATTTTTATAACGAAACTGTATGTAGCGTATAAAACTTTGATTAAATTGTGTAATGTGCAAGTACGGTAGCCGCAGAAATTCCCGAGACATAAAGTTGTATCATGCCATATGTGCCACGCTAGGGTTATAAAAAATCACTTCAACTTCATTTTGCGGCAATGTAAATTGAGTCTTAGGAAACGCTCTTTTGTTGCTGGTCATTGATGCCGTAACGATAAGTGCGATTTTATTTATCTCTTAAGGTCGTATTCTACAACTCTACTCAATGCTCAAGTCAGGATTTGAGCATGGTTTAAAGCACTCGAAATCATACTCAAGTCCCTACTATTAGGGTCGTATTTCCAGTGCTTGAAATCATACTCAGATCCTGACTTGAGCAATGAGTAGAGTTCTAGAATAAGACCCTTAGACACTTCTCTTATCTTACGACATTTTCTACAAGACATAGTGTACAGAGACTAATTGATAGGAGACGGCGTGGCTAATGACAGTATCAAGGACGTGCCTATGCCTTTTTATTCCCCCTCCTCTTCTTAGGTGGCCTGTACGGCCCAAGCTGATGCCTCACGAGCAGTCCTCTCCACCAACTTTGGACAATGATTGCACAACGATTCATATCGCTAGCATACTTCTGAGCGATTTCACGTTGGAGCTTGAATTCATTCCAATCATTCAATTCTTTTTCATTTCGCTTTAACTGTGGGAGAAAGAAGTTTTGAAATTAAAAGACGTCAGACGTCGTTGAAAGTAAAAGAAAGAGAGACGTAGCGACGTCGCCAAACCTCGCGTTTCAAAAGTTTCGCATCGCGTGTTAGAGCCTATGCAGACGGCGTTATATTTTACCCACAGACGACAGACGTGCATATAACGCGTGTCAAAGCGATTCAAAGGAGATAATCGTATGTTTTGTTTTATTGAGTGTGTACAGCGCCGTAAAAAATACACCGTGAGCATAGTCTTACACTCCAATAATCCCCAACTAATAAACTGTCCAAGCGAGATTTGTTTAAATGTGTAAAGGCTCATTCAGAGTGCAGGCACGGGCTCGGCGGCACCGACGGGTGCGGGCGCGCGGGTTTTGGCGTCTTTCCTTTCACAGTAGGTACCGAAGCGACTGCGAGCGGATAGATCCACACATCGAAATCGCAAACAGACGCCTAAACCAAGCACTGTTGAAGATACGGGCGGACCAAGCCAATATCTACCCGTGCGGCGTGCGTGGCGACTGTAAACGCAACGAGCGTCTACGTACTTTTACACTCTGAACCCGTTGTTGTGTGCTGTATCTTTATTACGTCGTCTTGATAATTATAGGGAGTGATTGTGACTTCCCCTTGTTTAATTTATTGTGTTGACATATAACTTGTAATCTGAAATGTAAAACTAACCTTTTCTTCGATATTCATCCGCTTTTCACGCTCCAATTCGTATTCGTTCTTTTTCACTTGAATCTTCAGATCCATCTCTTCTATATCTACATCATACTTTTCCATCCATGTCTGCACTTGATCTATGGTATCCTAGGTAACGCATTGAAAACTTTATTAATGTTAAATATTGTACCTAGCTGGGCGGTACAGGAAAATTATTAACGTAATCCAAATTTTTCCCGTATTAATACGGCAGGGACACTGGCTTTATTTCAGAATTTATTTTTTTACAAATGGAATTAAAGCCATTTCAAAAATGTTATATCGTATAGTATACGTGTTCTATTTAGTCAGAGAACAAAAAAGTAACGAGAATGGAACTCTCCGCCCCTCCCTAGCTTTAGATACCGCACCACGCCCCACACATTAACGGTCACATTGACTGAACGGCAACAAGGCTATCGGCGAGCCGTTTACTACTTCACGCACACATTTGCACGTGTGCAGATAGCGCCTTGCTGTATGTAGTGTAATATCGTGTGATGTGTAATAGTACATTGTGTTTTAAGGGCGGTAAATAAGGAATTACGAGCGAGACTATTAGAATTTCGGACTTAAGGCTCGTAATTCCCGTACACTCCCTGAAACACAATGTTTTTCATCGGGCCTTTTTTTTTCTTCTCATTACAGCCATAGTCATGTAATGTGAAGAAGAAAGGCACGAGGATTTTATTTGGGGTATTTATAGTCAGGTTAGCCTGCATGCAATCATATTATTTACGTGCAAGTGTAATGACAAACTCATTTTCATATTTTTGGTAATTAAGTGAAATTTTCTTGAAGACAGTTTGTTTTAATCGCATTGGTAACTTCACATTTTATGTTATATAACAAGGTCATTTATTGAAGCTTCAACCTAGCGTCATATTTGTTATATCTATTAGGTAATTCTTTTTCTTTTTATTATAATTTTTTTTTCTTATATTAAGTGACGGAACGAACAAGTCGTGCGCCGGATGGTAAGTTACACGCCTGTCCGTAATAGTTGTAGTGCCACTCAGAGCTTTAAATCGCAAAAATCTGAAGGTCTTTTATATATATATTACAATTTCTTATGTTAAATAATATTTATACTGTGTAAAGTGAAAAATTAGTTTTCTTATTGTAAGTAATTAAGCGTAATATTATTAAAACTAAATATTAATTATGTAGCACGCCTTTGGTTGGTCTTAATGTAGCGTAGACTTCTGACGCTAAAATACTATGAAAATTATTTAAGATATGGCGTATTTTTTTTAACGCACACATATTACATATAACCAGGATTAGTAAGCGGAATTAAACAATAAGTCACATCAAATCATGTTTTTATTGTCATATTCTCAGTCTAGAGTAACCTCCAACTACATTATGCTTCATAATAACAATTAAACTTATACAACACAACAGATTACAATGTATTGAATCATAGCTATCTATTTCGCCCTTATATACTGAGGGTATATAAGCAACATGCCATGTATATAGTCATTTTACAACGTATCTAGTAGTAATTATTTATTTTATAAATATATACCTATAGTATATAAGCAGTAAGTAGTTTTACAGTGTACATAATTATCTTATCGTTAATAACATTTTACCATTACCTCGCTTTTATGTATTTATATACGTGATTATCATCTTACTTCAGTTCATAATTTACTTTTAATAATCATACAGTACATAATTTACTTCAGTCTATGAGCGAAATATCTATAATCACTTTCTGTGTCGCTTACAAGCATACATACAATTAATCGACATATTCATGTAACATTATACACGTATAATATTAAGAAAACATTCGACACTATTAAACACACTCTAAAGTACACTAGGTAATTAAATTTAGAATGATACTTAACTTCGTTTCGTTGCCCCAGTCAGAATGAATTGCCTGGTCGCCGCTTGTTTTCCTTTTATACCCGTGCACAAAAAACTCCCACCGACGCGCGAACGTGGTATTTTTGTTATGCGCACGTGGTGTTTTATTTGCTAACAAATACAGTATATCCCTAGTTTAAGTATCTCACAAAATTTTAATTAATTAATTACATGTTTTGCATTCAATTTATAATAGTAACAAATAAATCTTTATAATATTTTCGTTAAACAGTTATGATATTGATTGTCAAATCACTCCTAGAATCATTTATATCCTAACACACACTCAGCATACCCCGGACACTCCATACAGCGGTTGAAAGTTATTTACCTACTACTACTACCACACACAGCAACGCGCTATCTACACATGCGCAAATGTGTTCGTGAAGTGGCAGGGTTACCCATCACTTTCTCGCACGTGATCAGAGCGTAGCGAACAACATTCAACATTCTTCTTCTTCTTCTTCTTCTTCTACTTCTTCTTCAACTCACGAGTATACAAATATTTCTCCCGGCCCAGGAAGCGAGCCCGGGATTGCGTGGCAGACCTTTCATGGTCTCCAAAATACGAATAGCTGACTAACCTTCATTAACTACCTTTAACTTACGTTGATAGCCAAGTTTACAAGCGTTTCAATTTCTGAATGTACAACTTGTTCCTGTTCCATTTGGTCTCTGTAATACCGAATGTTTTTAGTGGATTCCGTTTCAATCTTTCCTAATACTACTCTGTGTTGCTCTTTGCGCGCATTCTCCCATTTTTCCAGGTATCGACCTTGTGTTTCTTGGGTTACTTCAGCGTCCTGTGGTTATATGAGCATATTAATGTATTATTGACTAAAGTTACAATTGTACAATTTCTGAACTGAATTAATCGACTGTTCCTCAACCGATGTGTACATGAACTAGAAACCAAAATAAAATTAGTACAATTGCACAGGTCGTGACGAGGCTCAAAGAAGGATGGCGAAAGCTGCAACAATAACGACGTAGAGCCGTTCATGGACTTTGAACCCCAGCTTCTACGGATTGTACTCAATTTGCTTTTTTTGATGCTTTGATAATGAATCACAGTCTCCTTAATGCAAGTCGTCAAAAACACTGGGTCACAAAATACACAGAATATCGCCATCCTCCTTTGAATTTCGAAATATTGTACGTATAAGTAAGTGGGACAAATGTTCAAAGATTTTTACGTGCGTGAATGTGCATGTGCAAAATTTTTCGGTTCACACAGTAAAAAAATATTTTCGTGCGCAAATGTGCAGAATTGTGAAATAATAGTTATTTGTTATGCAAGGCTGCAAAGTTGTTGTTTGCCGCGAGTGCTTGTATTGAAACCTGGGCAAGCGAAGGAAGCTAATAAAGATTCCTGAGCGTAGCGAAGGTTTCAAGTCACGAGACACAAAACAACTTTGCTGCCGAGCGAAACACACAATTTTTCACCTCACTATAGCGAGGGAAATGGTAGGTGAAAGAAAAACAGTTGAACTTTAAAATTTTTTTTTTTTTTTAATTTATTAAGGCTTTGGCAAAGCCATCAGCCTAAACATGAAGTTTAATTATGTTTCTGTAAATATGGCCGCCACAAAGAGGATAGGCAATTTGAGGCGGCGTGCTTAGATTGACTCGGGATTCCTTAAAACGGGCCGATACGGGTATTTTAGTTCGAGATTCGTATAATTTCGCGTTTTAATCTTCGATTAAGGCACAATAGCACTATCCTATTCCACTTTAAACTAGATTTCACAAAATAATTGAAAGTCAAAATAAAAACGACACTTTTCCCTCCAAAAGGACCAGAGTGAATCATGTTGAACTTTAAAACCTTTTGTAATGAAAAGAAAAAGTTTATTTTCGGGTGCGTTCTGAATTGTAGTGTGCCACATCAATTTTTATTCTTGCTCAACTTTTATTTTGTATGATTATGTGATTAATTGGAATTATTTTAGTTCTTCGACGAATTAAAATAATTTCAAAACACAATTAGTTATCATTGTCAATTTAATGTCAACAATAATAAGAATAAGATATACCAACGGATTTATGTTACATAAATAAGTAATGTACGACAAATCGCTTAATTGAACGTGGCATTATCTTTTTTTTCATCGAAAGAAAAAGTTAGGTGCACCACCGTCAAGTTCGAATTTCAAAAACTTTTTCCACGCTAGCGTGCAAAAACGCTTTTACGCGCAGATTTCTAATGAAAAAGAAAGCCTTCCGAGCTAGTGAGGTGAAAAATATATTTTCGCGCGAAAATGAGCAGAACAGTAAAAAGAGAAAAATAAGAATAGCTTCTGCGTTTCAGTAACGAATCGACATCCGGCTAGTTATTAATACTGTAAAAGAAAAAAACAGTTTTGTAAAAGACACGAACCACATTTTAGGTTCGAGCAGAACGATTAGCATTGCATCTTGCGACTAGTGCTGAATCTGTTTACATATACCTGCCTAATAAGTAACCACTTATTAGATACGGACGGCAACATAACAAGCTAAACATTGATGGATCTTGTTCTGTTGCTCCGGAGTCGGTTAGTTATCTAGGTGTCGTATGGTCTACTAGAGAGTGCAATAAGATACATACTTCAACATTTTTCTGAAGTTTGTCCAGAAAGGCATTGGCATCATATAATATACATTTGTTTTTCTTGCATAATAGCCGTATTTGTTTTTGCATTTCCTTACAACGTCTGTGTACAAATAAATAAACTTCTTTCCACTTTGTATAAACATCGGTTGGAGATATTAAGCAATAAGCCTATTGAATTAAACGTGGACTAACTTATTAAAGGATAAGTTCACTTAATTTCATTATACGTTACAAAATAAGAATCTGTGATCAAAATTGTAACCCTGCCTTCTTCCTATATGGCCGCCATACATTCTCTACGGTCCAACATAATTTTATTGTGCTCACCATTCCTCACGGAATGAGTTGAAGAATGAGTTTTTTGAAAACGGTAAAAATTTTAGGAAGAGGCTGCCTTTATAAAAATAAATAACTTCTACCGAGTGACACATAATGTTACACATAGGAAATAAAACCATTTTTTCGGATCTAAGTAAATTTTTCGTTTTCTATTTGTTTTTTCCTTTTTCAAACAAATCATCGTTTCGGGCCCTTTACAGGTCTCATGGTCACGACTGACTGACAACAACCACCACTAGGGGGCGTTTCTAAAATGTCAAAAAAACAACTACATTTCATTCGTTCTGGTCTGGTCCTGTACAAACGAAAATTTTCACGGCACGTTTTCCTTTACACGTAAGATTTAAACTCAACTGTATGCTACTAAAGAATGCGCAAAATCTAGAGTGTAAAGTCCAGTGAGTTATGGCTTATAAGTATATAAAAAATGCTAGGTATGCTCTGAAAGAAGGATGTCAATACTAACATGTCATTTTTGCTTACCGCTTCCTTAATCGCTAAGTAAGCCTTTTTGCGTTCAGTGATTTCACTGTTTGTAGCAGTTAGTGTGTTGTAGTGTAGATGGAGCGCAATGTCTATGTATGTGTCGCGCATTACTTCGGTGAAAAAAGTCCTGCACAAAACATGAACACCACCAAAATTTACTTAAATGCATAAAAAGTGGGTTGATATATTTCAGACAATATGTTAAAAGTCTACCAGTCTACCTGAAAACAGGCAAAAATAAAAGACTTAAACGAATTACTATATTATAATATATACTTATAATTAAGAATAAAATATGTACTTCAGTTTGTCAGGGGTACTTGTAATTCCATAACAAGTACGCGGGTATTGGACCCCGGCTCCCCGAGCTACTACCGTCTCTAATCTCCTATTTTCCTTCCGAGACAGTAGTATCCTATACCTAAAGTTCCTCTCCCAATATCCATTTTCTCCTTCCCTCCTGACCACATCCTGTACCAATCTTATTTTATTTCCTTCCCCTCCGCCAATCTACGGTTGCCGTGCCTATGGATGCGTGGCTAGGGGCATGCCTAGTCGAAAGCGTGCCACAAACTCTGGGGCCGAGCGAACCCAGAAATAGGTTAGCTTTACCCTGGCAAGCGGAGCACTGCCAGGATGGACATATATTTTTCCCCAGCTTCTCGTGGGACTGCAATGGTTAATTTGTTAAATAGAAACCAAAATGGCGGCGATGTGGTTCGCCACCCGTCACGTCTCGGTTTCCGCGGGGGCGGAAAGTGGACAGCAGAAAGCCACTTTGCTACTTTGAATGTTAGAGGAGGGATGAATGATAAAATAGAAGAAGTATGTAAGATGATGAATGAAAGAAGAATTGATGTTCTATGTTTGAATGAGACGAAGAGAAAAGGATGCGATACGACGACGCATGGATCATACACAGCGTACTGGTCAGGAGTGTCCGAAACCAGCAGAGGGTGCCAAGGAGTTGGCGTATTTTTTTCTTCTAGAATGAATGAATTTGTTCTTGAGTTTGAGTGTGTAAGCCCTAGACTCTTATGGGTGAGATTGAAAGTTGGCCTGACTCGCATCTTTATTTTAGGGGTTTATGCTCCGACAGATACGGGTTCAAAGCAGATCACCAAAGCCCAAATAGAAAGAGAGGAATATTGGGACAGTGTAAGAGAGGTTTTGAATAAAAGTCAACAAAATGAAAGGATTATCATGTTAGGACATTTCAATGGATGGGTAGGAGTGAAGCGTGATGGATATGAAGATGTGCTTGGAACGTTTGGAGATGAAAGAGTGAACGATAATGGAAAGTGTCTGCTCAAGTATGTTTGGAGTGGAATCTTTTAGTGACAAACACCATGTTTCAACACAAAAAGATCCACATGTATACAAGAGCAGAAGGAAGTTTGAGGAGTATGATAGATTTTGTAATAGTGGATGAAAGATTAGGAAAAAAGGTGCTTGACACGCGAGCATACCGCGGAGTTGGTATACACACCGACCACTTTCTGGTGGTTAGCCGAATAGGTGGTCTTTTTACAAGGTGGCGGCATCGAGTGAAGGAACCTGTTAGTGTGCTAGAACGAATAAAAGTTGAGAATTTGCAGAAGACAGATGTGAAAAATGAATATGTGAGTAAACTGATTGAAAGGTTTGATGGACTAGACGAAGTATGTAGTATTGAAGATTTATGGAAGCTATTTAAGGAAGGAATGGTAGAGGTCGCTACTGTATGTGTGGAGTATCCAAAAGGAAAAAAAGGGCAGAAGACGAGGAATGTTTGTTTGGATGAAGGTTTCCGTAATGTTCTGTCTGATAAGAAGAAAGCGTGGTTAGATTGGTTATCTATGAAAGCTAATGAAAGAATACAAAAGGCAACGAAAGAGGATGTAAACGAAGCAAGGAAAGAGTATAAAAGAATAAAAGATGTTGTGGGAAGGAAGAAAGAGTGCCAGAAAGACGAGTTTGACAGGAGATTATCTGATGACTTTCAAAGCAACATTAAGTGGTTTTGGAAGTCCTTAAGAACAGCTAGAGGCAAAACCACAACCTCGCAACTGCAAAAAATCAGAGGCCACGATGGCAGTATAGTGAAAGGAGAAGAATTCGTATTAAAGAGATGGAAGGAGTATTTTGAAAGTTTGTTTGAAAAGAAAGATGTACAAATGCAGGCTCAGATCGCCATAGAGACGAGCGGAAGTCAAAATGAAAGTATAAGCATGGAAGAGATTATAAAGGCATTGAATACTATGAAATCTGGTAAAGCTGCGGGATATGACAGATATACTGTTGAAATGCTGAGGGCTGGACAGGGTGTGATCACTAGTCAGCGGTACCGCCTTTTCAACCTTTGTTGGTCAAGCGGCCAAGTGCCAGGAGACTGGGGCAAGGCTGTCATCATACCATTATATAAGGGAAAAGGGTCGCAGCAAGACTGCAAAAATTACCGCGGAATCAGTCTTCTTAGCATTGTCGGCAAATTATATGCAAAGGTATTGATTGAGAGAGTGATGAAAGAAACGGAAGAATAAATTTGGGACGTGCAAGCGGGATTTAGAAGAGGAATGGGATGCATGGATCATGTCTTCTCCTTGCGTAACATAACCGAAAAGTTCTTGGCTAAAAGACAAAAAGTCTATTGCGCTTTTATAGACTTGGAGAAGGCCTACGACAGTGTCAAGGAAAAAATTGTGGTCGACTTTGCCTATGTATGGGGTGGACGGCAGTCTAGTTCAGGCACTGAAATCTCTCTATGAGGATTCCAGTGCGTGTGTCAGAATAAATGGTGCTTACACTGACTGGTTCGATATCGGGAAAGGTGTTAGACAGGGATGTGTAGCGTCGCCATAGCTGTTCAACCTAATTATGGACAATTGTTTGAAAGTTTTGAAAGAGAGTACGTGTGGGCTGAGAATGAATGGTTTACTCATTAAGTGCCTTTTTTTTTTTTTTGACGGGGCGAAATCTTTATGGATACCCCTGAGCCCAGGGAGACTCAGGGGTTATGTGGGGACTCTCCCTCCACACTGGAAGGCCTACCCCACTAAAACCCCCCCGGGTTTCCCTCTCGCCGGTTGAGTCGGCGCCGTGGGATCAGTGAACATTCACCACGACGCCGCCCGGCCGCCCTAGCTTGCGCCAGGGCTCCCGCGCCAACGGAGGGACGAGTCGGTTGTCCTCCGACCCGCCCCCCAGACGAGTGAGGCCGTGCAATGTAGGCTCCGGAGTCCCTGTCCAGAGCCCGCTGGTCTCACTAGGGGATCAGGCGAGCAGCGAACTGCCTTCGCCTTCTCCCCGTACGTCTGCGCCGGAGCGGGTGCGCGTCCGCCGCGTCCTCGCGCACCCGCTCCGCGGCCTCCTTTTGCGACATAACCTCTGTGCAAAAGGAGGCCATCGCCTCCCAGGACTCCTCGCTATCGAGCATGGCGGCAACCACGCTCGGCAACGAGAGGTCCTGCCCACACCTCTAGGGTGTGCTGCGCGGTGTCATCCGCAGCGCCGCACTCGTGGCACGACGGGGACGGTTCCCTCCTCGCCACCTTGTGCAGGTAGTGACCGAAGCAGCCGTGTCCGGTCAGCACCTGCACAAGGTGGTACGACAGTGGCCCGTGGGACCGGTTTACCCACTCTACGAGGACAGAGCGAATCGCCTCTATGGTACGAGCACCATAGGGGGGATCCGCCAAGCCCTCTTTCCACCGGTCCCGCATGCGCTGCGCCGCGAGGCGGCGCTCCCGCTCCACCTCTTGGGGAGCGGGTCGCTCGCCTCGGTCCCTCATTCCCCGCCGGTAGGTGCGGACCTCCGCCAGGACCTCGGCTTCGAGGGCCCACGGCGGAGTACCGGCGAGGACGCATGCGGCAGCGCAGGCCACCGTCATGTACGCCCTGCACATTCGCAGGGCGACCACCCTCTGGGGCCTCCTCAGCAGCGACTTCGTCGCCGCTGATAAGGCCCCACTCCAAATGGGAGCCCCGTATAAGGCCATACTCCGGGTCACCCCGGCGTATAGCCTTCTGCATGGGGCTCCCGGCCTCCCGAGGCTGGGCAGGAGCCTGCCCAACGCCGATGCGGCGCCCACTATTCGGGGAGCAAGTTGCCGAAAATGCTCCCCGAAGTTCCATCGCCGGTCTAGGACAAGTCCCAGATATTTCATCTGGGACTTGACCGGGACCGATACTCCCGCGATGGAGATGTGGGCGCCTGCCGGCACCGCCCAACCTCTACCCCTCCCGCCGAAGACGGCCACATCCGTCTTCGGCACGGCGACCTCGAGCCCCAGCAGTTGTATTCGGCGGACCACCATGTCCGCCGCTACTGAGGCTCTTCGGGCCGCCTCCTGGAAGGTGGTCCCCCGGACGGCCACCAGCGTGTCATCGGCGTACGCGATGACCGCCGTCCGGGGGAGCAGCGCGCCCCTCAGCACCCAATCGTACCTCAGGTTCCACAGTAGTGGTCCTAACACGGACCCCTGGGGTACTCCGCACCTCATTGGGCGCTCGGCGCGCCTCCCTTCCCTCGTCTGGTAGAGCACCACCCTGTCCACCAGGTAGTGCTCCACCAGACGGCTGAGGTACCTGGGGATATTATGGTACCTCAGCGCCTCCCTGATAACGGCGAAGGGGAGAGTGCCGAAGGCGTTGGCTATGTCCAACGACACAGCCACCACGCCTTCCCTCTCGCCGTTACCCTCCTCCACGATGTGTCGCAGCGACTCCAGGGTGTCCAGGGTGGAGAGTCCAGCCCTGAACCCGTACTGCCGCTGCGACACATCGGGGCCTGTCCCCCTCAAGTGTTCGTTGATCCTGGAGGCGATGATTCGCTCCAGGATCTTCGCCACCTCGTTCAGCAGGACGAGGGGCCTGAACCCCGAGGGGGACTCATTAAGTGCCTCCTATACGATGACCAGGTGGTATTAGCGTCATCAGTGGAAGAGTTGCAGGAGATGGTAAATATTATGCATGGTGCTCTTAAAAGTAAAGGAATGAAAATTAATGTGTGAAAGACAAAGGTAATGGTTTTTGAAAGAGAGGAAGATATGACGATTTGCACGATATTGATTGAAGGAGAGAAAGTGGATCAAGTGAAAGAGTTTGTGTATTTGGGTTCTATGTTTACGTGTGATGGAAAATGTGAAAGAGACATTGAAAGAAGAGTGAACGCAGGGAATCAGGTGAATGGTACCTTGTATACCTTCATGGGCAGCCAGAAAGTGTCTAAAAAGGCACGATTGGCTGTGCATGGGGGGGTGCTGGTTCCTACACTTATGTATGGTAGTGAATGTTGGGTTTGGCAGAAGAAGCATGAAAGTAGAATTAATGCAGTAGAAATTAGAGCTTTGAGGAGTATGGCTGGAGTGACTCGGATGGATAAATTACGGAACAGTGTGATAAGAGAGCGTTGCGGCGTGGAAGAAGATATAGTGACAAAGATAGAGAAAGGGATGCTTAGATGGTTCAAACATGTAGAGAGAATGAATGAAAGAAGAGTGACGAAACAGATTTATAAGGCTAGTGTGAGCGGGCAAGGTGGTATGGGCCAACCAAGGAGAACTTATCATGACCAAATTGAGGCCATCCTAAAGAAGGGCCAGGTCAGGAGTACCCTTAACCGACGAGCGTGTATGAAAGCATTGATGCGTGTTGATGAGGCGAAAGATGTGTGTCAGGACCGTAGCAAGTGGAAGACTGTTGTCTCTGCCTACCCCGATGGGAAAAAGGCGTGAAGTATACGTATGTATGTATGTATGTATAAAATATCTAACTTTGCACATCATTTTTATTTGGAGATATTTATTCATTACAACAGAGAACCTGCTAAATTTTCGTTTTGGAGCCTTATACCTAGTTACTAAATTGTCATTTATCCCAAAATTTGAAAATTGCCCAGCGGTTTAACGACTCGCCGCGCTACCCGCTGGCCCGTTAGTAGCTATCGGGCATTTGTCGACGTCGGATCTTTGTCAAATTTTCTCCGTCTGTCCTTATTTTATTCATATATTAATTTACAGCGCGTGTGTTGCGGGACGCGTAGGCGGTCCCCCACACCTCACCTCCTAAAATGTAGGTTCGCGTTGAAATATCTCGCCTCTTTAGTTTAAACTAAATAAGTTATTTATTTTTGGAAGATTTACAGCGAATTTTTAACAATAAATATGTGTTGAGTAACAGGTGAAAATGCTAAATACAAATCTTCACAAGTGGTACAAAAAATAAGGTATTCAGTTTTTAGTCAGCAGAAACTAAAACATTATTATTGAAATGTACAATATAATATCATTTTACACATTAAGAACAAGTATCTCAGCCAATACAGGAAAAAAAAATTTTTGGATCATAAAAAGTCCAACCAACAACACGCACATCCTTAAGACAGAAAATAAAATAATGTAAAGTAATAATTACGTAAAGTGTTGCTTATTAAACGTTCGTCGAATCGAGCCTGCACTGGTACTGAACAGGTCTATAGTTGTATATCTCGTTTAACTGATCCCGGATGTGTTAATTAATACCTTAATTTCGCAAAAAATGTCGATTACGTTAGTTAAGGAGTTGGTCAATCAAATTTATTAAATATTTTTATTACACGAAGCGACGGGACGCGCAAGTTATGCGCCTGAGGTGGTAAGTGACACTGTCTATAGACGTTGCAGTGTCACTCAGAACTTTAAATTGCAAAGATCTAAGAGCCTTCACAGACTTTTAGCAGCGATGCAAACTCGATGCAGTAGTAGCATACTAATCGTCTACCTTAGTAGCAGTAGAGCTCCTGGTGAAGGTGTTCGTCCAGAAAAGTACTGCCACCTTACCTATTTCTGCTGCCAAGCAATAATGTCAGCATTAATGTGTTCCGAATTTTGAAGGATAAGGGTGCTTGTGAAATTACAGGCACATGGAACTTATCAACTATGTCTCAGGGTGACAGGTGCAATGGCAGTGCCCCTTAGATCTTTACACACACGCGCGACATAAGCACCGACCTAAACGCGATGCAAACGCGCGACTGCATCGTTACAAACGCGCGATTGCATCGCTACACTTGTGATTTAAAAGCGATTGCATCGATGCAATAGCGCGTTTGTATTGATGAAATCGCGCGTCTGTATCGATGCAGTCGCACGTTTGCATTCATGTATTTGCCCATAAATAGCAAGTATAGTAATTATGATTACTGAAATTATGTATTACTGAATTTCGCCGTGTGTAACCATTCTAGGGGCACTGTCATTGCCTATAATCCTGTGACGATAAGCTAAAAAGTCCCATGTGTGCCATACTGTGCTGAAACCGTCTTTATGTGCTTCAACAAACATGCTCGAAGCATATATCACACCCCTCATGGAAGAATGGCAAAAGTCACAAACGGTTATTGCTCCATTAGATACAGAAAAATATAATTCACATCCTCTCCAATTCCTGTAACTCTATCTACAATATTAGTTGGTAGAATTACAAGAATTGGAGAGGGTGTGGGTTAGTGTTGCTAAAAACCCGTTTTTTTTTCTGAGGTGAAAAAAAAACGGTTTGAAAAATGGTTGACGTAACTCCACTTATGCTAGTCTTCCATGAGGGGTGCGAAATTATCTGTTTTATTCATAGCCAAGTAAAATAAAAAAACAATACGCTTCGATTCTAATTTACTTACTAAACCAAGCATTGTGTCACATGGATTAAAGATCCGCCATTAAATATCAAGAACATGGATGTTTTTTATTTTTCATAAAAAGCGCACCTGTCAGGTGTTTAGAATTTTTTATCGGATTTTATCACTTTGACGTTCTTGCCTACTGATGGTTTGTAAACATTTACGTGTGCATTTTATTGATCGTATTTTACACATTCTGGTCTAAAACTGATTATTCTGAAAAAGCCCTCAGAGAAAATTTACTTCTTTCTTCGTTTACCTATTCTTTTTGATAGTATCACGAGTGTTTCCCTTGGTTACATGGGTTTCCAAACTTTTTGCAAGCAAGATAAATAAGTGTCAACACCCACCACCACCACAAAAAAAATGTATTTTTATATTAATTTAACGCAAAAAATCACAAGGAAAAATTGCTGGCAATTGCTTCCGAGGACTCTTCGGCTCCCACTAGGGAGTGTTAGGGACCACTTTGGGAAACCATGCCTTAGTTGAAACAAATTAAACACAGACCTATCATCATCCATTTTACGCAGTTTGAATTCATCGCTTTCAAGGCTACGATTGCCTTTACAATATTCCAATTCATCTTTCACTAACGGTTCTGCAACGCCGTATCTTTTCCTGATATGCATGTCCATGTCCACCAAAAACTTGTCCAATGCACTTTCATTGTTGGCGTCAACTAAAAAAAATTGCATATATTTTTGTGCGACAATAATATGTGACACCAACGGCCTATTTTATAAGTACTCTAGCCAAATTCGACATAGAATAAATGTCAACAAACAAAAACACGATTATTAGTGTTTTCACCTCTAGACTGTTTTACAGTCACCACAATTTCAATACTGTCCTCCGAAATTCGATTAGGCTATAAAATACTAATCTTGTAGTCATTTCTGTGATTAATTTTGTTCAATAGATGTTCACTAACAAGTGATTTGAAACTGACATAAAAATGACCACTAATTATTTATTAATGGATTGTGTCACTCCTGAAGAATATTTTATTTAAAGGGCGAGATTCCAAATATTTCTGTTCGAGCAGTAATTCAAGTTCAGAATCGGAATTTCATGAGAAATGCAGCAAATTAATATAAAATGGGCCGTGTTCCGCAGAAATGTGTTAACCCACAGAAAATCGTAAAATGAGTTATGAATGCAGTCTTATACCTTGTAATATAAAGTTTATTATTCTTTTCAGTAATATATTTTAAAAAATCGTAGTAATTGTTAAATCAAAAAATTGATTTCATAGGCGAATTTCGCAAAAATGTGTTATGTACATTTATGTCACCATAAATGTGAATTTACAACACATGTCTTTCAACGTACAACCTATTTGAAAAATGTAAACATTTTAAATTTTGTCGATGATATGAACAGACCGGAAATGATATAGATCCTGAAACTGAGGATTGGGCGATGAGAATAATCTTTTACTGTTAAATTCAGAATTTGGCTAATGGCGCACCGTTCAAGATATTTATTGCGAAAACTGAAACTTAATTGGCTTATTGCAATCTGAAAGAAAATGAATGAACGCGAATATGATGGTAAGGGGAAGATGATGGTAATTGAAACGGATAAAAGTGGAAAAATGGGGACAAGATTGGTAGCGGCACCAGCCTTTGATAGCCCTGTAAACACATTTTTTGAAGAACCCTATGTCATAGCGTAAAGGAAATACTTCAGGAGGAAGATTATTCCACACTTTGCAGGTTTCCAGGCATCTAAGATGTGGGGATGGACTCTACTCCTTTAGCGGGAGGTGTGATGATGGAAACGAGACCGTGGCACCAGTTCGAAAAGTTCCACAGAGCACTCCCCATTGTAAAGACAGTAAAACATGGACAGAGAGCCAACGTCTCTCCATAGGCTAAGGGGCTCCATACCGTTTGCGAGTTTGTGACCATCGACAATACGAACAGCTCTTGGATGGAGACAAGTGGATCAATCTGGTATTTGGGAGCTCCTGCCAAGAGATGCGAGAAATACTCCAAATGGGGCCGTACTTGTGTTTTATACAACAAAAGTCGGTGACCTGGTGAGAAATACCGCTTCGCTCTATTGAGCACTCCGAGCTTTTTGGAAGCCAGTTTGGTTTTGCTCTCCAAATGACCCCGAAACTGGACTTCGTTCGTGATATGTAGTCCAAGTATCCCAATACTCTTAGAGATGGTAAGGAGAAAAGGGTAAAGGTGTTCTGTAACTTAGGTGCTATTACAAATGGGTATTTTTAGCTGTGAACGCGTGTCTTTGCGGGATTAAATTGACAAGATTCTGTCCGCCCCATTCTGAGACCTGCTCCAAAAAGTCTCGATTTTGGACACAACTTGCAATCTATTTTGTTCCACTTGCTGGTATATATTTGTGCGATTTGTATATTAGGTATCACTGCTACTGTCATTCGTATAGCAATTAATGTTACTAGTTAATAACATATAGTTGATATGCAGGATGAACAAGGTTGGCGATAGCACAGATCCTCGGCATTAATGAGCATGGTGTCCGAGCACAATCCGTCCACAGCGACTTTTAAGCTCCGCTCAGACGGGAAGCTAATAATCCAAGTACACAGCCCTTTTGGAAGCCCGTAAGATGGTAGCTTCAATAGCAGTGCCTTGTGCCAGTCCCGATCAAAAGCCTTAGCGATGTCTAAGCTCACGCCCATTGCTTCCCCCTTGCTCTTGATGGCAGCTGCTCATTGGTGCGTGAGATACACAAGAAGATCACCAGCACCTAGGACCGCGGCTATATTAATAAGAGATGGTTAGTGTGATGATATTGAACGGAAAGTAATAGCCGAAATCAGGTAAATGGAGCTCTGTATGCCTTTGTAGGTAGCCAAAACGTGTCAAGAAAGTGCGGGTTCCAACCCTGATGTACGGTAACGAGTATTGGGTGTGACAGAAGAAGCATGAAATTAGGGTAAATGCTATTAGTATAAGAGCTTTGAGTAGTATGTGCTCTGTTAGTGCGTCTTGAAATTAGGCGAAGGGCTATTGATTATTGAAAACAAAACACGTTGACTGACAAAAATGAAAATGTATTTTATTTTTATTTCGAAATCGGTTAAAACATTCAGAAGTTACAGCGGAATCAATAAACGATATTTCCTTACACTATTCACCATTACGCTCCTTTGTTTGATCAGTCGTGTAAAAAAAACCAGGTAATGGTTATTTATAATGCTATATAGATATATACAAATATTATATTATCGACATCGATAGTCAAGGGACAGATTCCTTTGACTATCGATGTCGATAATGTAATATTTGCTTGCCCAACTCTAATGTAATATTTCGAATTCAGGCTGGCCAATCGGAGCGAAGTTGCCATCGTAGCTATTTAGCAGAATAGTTTTCAAACAAAATAAATAACATTTCGTCTCTATTTCTGGTTATATACTCGATGCTTCTACATAACCCCATTACCTACTTATCTTTCTATTTATACGAGCAGGCCCTGGGCAGAGTTTAAATAATGAGCATTGACAAAAAATTTTCATCTAGTATGCCATCACTAGTTGCTTAGCAACGTTTTGATATTAAACATTCTATGTCAAATTTGGCTAGAGCATACTTTCCCAAACTTTTTGGCTTACCGTCCACTTGAGTAAGATAAAAAATTTCAATCTCCAGCACAAGAAAATCTTTCTAATTGAAAAAACACGTCACACTTGACAACTAACATAGTATTATCTATATAAAAATTGCGTTATATTGTATTTTATCTCAAAATTTCGCTATATTTATATGTCATTCGTATACGATTTAATTTCAAAGTGACAGGACACGTGATACAGGACAAGTGACAGGAAATTAACAATATATTCTTTATTGTACCAAATAAAATACATCACAAATATTAGATTAACAGAAAGTGAGCAAAGGTGGACTTATCTCTAAAAGAGATCTCTTCCTATGTTAAATAGGTAATATTAATATAACTTAAAACAATTTTCAGGCAAAACTAGGTTAGTTGTTCATGTGCGACGTACTTATAATATTAACTTAACAAATAAAATCACAAGGAAAACATTACATATTTGCAGTGTAGCTTATATAGATAATTCAGGTTTTTTTTTCAAATGCGGTAGCACCCCCTGTAGGGTTAGCACGATAGGGCGCGACTTGCGCGAGAACGACATAAAGCGCGAGATACTACTATTCTCGTCCTAAGTCGCGTCCTGTTATGCTAGCCCTACTAGACAGAATCAACGCCTGCCAATTCCTTCCGAGGCCCCTACCGCCGTGGGACTATTCAGCGCTCACTGGGGGGTAGGGACTACTTTGGGAAACTAGTATAGAGTAAAGAGAAAACAATGTAAAAGCATGTGATACGTACTCAAAACCTTGATCTTCATAATGGCATCTTCTAAAACAGTAGCAAACATAGCAGATGGGAAATAGGTCAGACTGCAAAAAAACAAAATCACATAATGTCGTTGGCAGAATATCTGCTGGTCAAATGCTCAATTAATGTCTATAACTACGAATGCTATATCTTAACCGGGCAGACTGGGCAGTTTTGCCGAACATTCGAGTAAAAAGGCTGGACACCCTGATTTTCTAAGGATTTGTATGTTATTTTAATATGACAATGTTTTTAATGTTTACACATTAAAAACATTGTCATATTAATAACCAGGTTTTTTGATCATTTATCAAATATTCATTCTAAAGGAATAACAAAAAAATCTGTTATTGCGTCGAACGGGGCGTTTGCTCAAACCACCATGTGGCTGGTCAAAAATAAAAAGTCTAACATAAGCCGGACACCGTCTAATGTTGTTGAACATGCATCCAAAAAGCTTAACTATGTCTAGCTCTATCCGAGCGCCTGGCAACGCTGCCATAACGTACCTACTATCAAGAAATAAGGGCGCGATCAAATTAGCCGCTGTTAGCCGCGCTGCAGCCGCGCGGCGGTCGCGCTGCAACCGCGCGGCGGCTGCGCGACTGCGCTGAAGCGCGACCAAATTTTTAGTGATGTTTTATCTTTCGACTCAGTTACACGATGGATTCTGACGAAGAAACGTTACTTTCACTTATTTTGTTAAAACTGAAGAAAAAAAATTAAAAAGAATGCCAGAACGTATTAATATAATCGACAACGTGTAATGTCAGACATCACATATTCAGATATAAATGCCATTTCCATAAGGATTACCAAAAATAAATTTTTGAAAATTCTTGGCAACCATCTTGGATTTAGAAATTAATGCCACATTCTCAATGAGCACTCCCAAACAACTCGAAACGTCTATAATTCTCGTTGTTGATTGACAATGTCGTAGGCAGCTTTAGAATCCGTTCGTTACCTTTATTATGTCAAAATAATCAAAATTAATACTACCATTAAATAGTTACAAAACTCGATTTACGAAAAATATTTGTAAATAGTTTTCGCCTTGTTTACGGGTTTTTATGGGATTTTTACGTTTTTACGTTTTACGTTTATTCGAAAAATCGTGCCCGCCATCTTGGATGTAGAAGTGAGTGCCATATTCGTATTGAGCATCCTCAAATACGTCGAAAAGGATACCCATATTGCATTTTTTTGAAAAATCGTGTCCGTCATCTTGGATTTACAAATAAGTGCTATATTCGTAATGAGCACCCTTAAATATGTCGAAAACGATACCCAACTTGCCGTTATTTGAGAAATCGTGTCCGCCATCTTGCATTTAGAAATGCGAAAAGTCGTGTCAGCCATCATGTATTCAGATATAAATGCCATTTCCATAAGGATTACCAAAAATAAATATTTGAAAATTCTTGGCCACCATCTTGGATTTAGAAATTAATGCGACATTCTCAATGAACACTCCCAAACAACTCGAAACTCTGTAATTCTCGTTGTTGATCGACAGTGTCGTAGGCACCTTTAGAATCCGTTCGTTACCTTTATTTTGCCATAATAATCAAAATTAATACTACCATTAAATAGTTAAAAAAGTCGATTTACGAAAAATATTTGTAAATAGTTTTCGCCTTGTTTATTTTCATGGGATTTTTACGTTTGTTTAACACTATTCTTCACACTCAGAACCAAAAGGTATATAGTTAGGGGCGGTTAGAGTTCAGAGAATAACTGGCGCAACTGATATCCCATATTGCCAGGTGTTGTTCTGCATTCTCTATAAATTCTTCAACTCGATTTTCGTCATCGTAGTTAATTTGGAAAATTAACATGTACACCTCAGTAACCGTGATGCAACCGAGCGTGGCTGCTGCGCGACTATCGCGCGGCTTTCGCGCGGTTGCAGCACTTCTAGAAATTGTATGAAAAGTGACAATCGCGCGGCCATCGTGCGGTCGTCGCGCGGCCGCCGCGCGGCTGCAGCGCTGCTGTAGCGCGGCTAACAGCGGCTAATTTCAACGCGTCCTAATTATACGGTATAAATTGACCTACCAACAAATGGACGTCGGGTTCGCGCTAAATAGTGTCCGCACCTATAGGGCGTTACAATCGCATACAGAGAGTGATTCGCGCAACAGTCTTCGTTTGTTCGACTGACAGCGCGGTTGTCAATCATGCAGTACTATATAATAATAACTTGTAAAAATTACTTTGTATTTATTAATTTGTAAAGTGCAAAAACAGAATTTTGTAACACTTTTTCACTAAACAAATATATTGTGTTATCATAATTATCATTTAAAAGTGTTATTTTGTACAGTTTTATAGTATTTAATTTATATATAAATTAATCGTAAATATAAATTACAAAAACAAACAAAATAATCAAAAAGCCAACTGTCCTTTTTCTATACATTGCATGCGCAAAAGATGGAAAGAGACCCATTACGTCAATTTCAAGAAACTTATATAAACTTCTTGTTCATTTTCAATTGTTCGACTCTGGTTCGACCTATAAGCGATTGAAATATTTGGAACAAAGAAAATATTGGTTGGTCAATCACTGTATATAACAATAATAATTACTCTAAGCCTAAATGTACCACTGCTGTGCGAGGGTCTCTTCCTTTTTTCCATTGGTTCCAGTTTTTGGCTGCATCTGTCAGTCCTTTAAAAGGGGTCCAAGTTTAGAGCTCTAGAACTTCCACTCCGTGGTCACCTTAGTCCTTATCTAGTATAGTCCTAGTAATTTTCAACCATTTCCGGATTCAAGATTTTTAAGTAAACGCTTGAATCGCATTGTCTGTAAACGTTGTTTGGGGAAACAGGCTTGACTGAGATCTACATACTGTTCTTAGCGTGATAAATATAAAATCAGTTTCTTCAAGTGAATTTCGGTTACTATTGTATAAGTCGCTAGTCATTGAAAGATACAACTAACAATCAGATTGTCTTTTTAGCCTACTAGCGTACTTCCCTTGTTTTAAAATCGATGTGGTAATCGAGACATTTTTCTTTAGTGTGGCTACCTCACCACCTGTTCCCCGCTTATTCATATTTTTTTTGTGAGAGTCACTGTTCGCATGGGCACAGTATAATAAGAGGCAATGTTCGGCGCGTAAATTTCCTGCACTTCTCTCGGAGCGTAGGGTTGTTACATTATTATTTTATACGCACCTACAGGTTGTAAACATAATTTGAAATAAGGTTTTCATTACAGTATTCTCGTGATATATTATATAACCTTTATTAAATGCAGTAGGTACCTACTTACGTAATGATATTTTTATACCAGGATTGGTAACAATTATTAGATAACATTATGGAGTATGATTATGAAATAGAAATGAAATAATGAGAAATTCTGATTTTGGGGCACTCTTATTCAAACTATTGGAAACAAAACAATAAACACGTCTAGTATTTGATGTCTATAATGAACGGCGTGTAACGACCCGTTCTATGCAACGCGAGTGCATCGCGAGATTATGCGAATGTGTGCGTCGGTACACGACACGCACACATACAAACGGAGAAATCGCGCTGCTACGTTTGTATGAAGTTACCGTACTTGGGACTTAACGGTAAATTTGGAAAATACTTCGCGCACTACCATCAATCAATATTGATGAATTGATGATAAAGGGAACAAATTGAACTCCATCGCAGAAATATCCAAAGAATTGATTGAATGAAGAGAAGAAATGATGATTTAAATGAAATAGAAATAATTTTTGACGCCACTACTATTTGTTTCCAGATGCGGAAAACCTTGACCCCTTCACAGAACGATTCAAAAGGGTCACTTGGGTAATAATATACATTTCATTCTAAACTTTATATTAAGTTTTGAATTGACCACCTCGGTGGCTCAACGTGGTCTTTACTGCGGACGCTGGCCGAGGAGGTCCCCGTCCGATTCGTAGTAGGATCAATTTGGAAATAAACTTTCCGAAACGGGTTCAGGTCTTATGGGTAGTGCATTCTGTTGTGTACTTACAGGAATACTCTTTAATTGGCGGGGTTGCTTTTTTTTACATTTACTAATTACGTCAATTATAAGACTTTGCTATAATATTTTTTTTTAAAAAGGAACCGATTTATATGTACTGCTTATATGTACATACAATACAAACTGAAACTAAAAACTTAACAATCGGTTACCGGAAAGTGCGTGAAACGTGATTCAGCCCCTAGTTTGCTTACAGGTTAATATTTTCTTCAAATTTAAATGCGAGACCAATAATGAGGTATATAATACCTTTTTCCATTAAAAAAGAATCATCAAAATCGGTTCACAAATGTGAGTAATCGCGTAACATACACACAAAAAAATAACAGTCGAATTGAGAATCTCCTCCTTTTTTTAAAGTCGGTTAAAAATTAAGAAACAGGTGTAAGGCAATTATCACACTGCCCCGCACCACGCAGCGGAGTGCGCGAAACGACCGATGAATCATGCGCCCCGCATTCCCGCGCGGAGATGAGTTTTCAGTGTGTTGCACGTCGCGTGTTTTCTATACATCGGTCACACCCCGGACACTCCATACAACAGTCGAAAATTATTTACCTACTACTACTACATGTAGCAAGGTGCTATGTGCACACGCGCAAATGTGTGCGGGAAGTGGCAGGGTTACCCATCACTTGCTCGTACATACGTACGTTACGTGGTCAGAGAGGCAACATAGCGAAAATTCTAACGCTAATCTTTTATCTATAATTCTATTATAGAATCCTAATAATTACACATATTTATTACGTAGGTATTTATATCGATACAATATTATATTTTTCATTAATTCACTAACTAGAATAACATTGAAGATTTATTTTAAAAAATATATTAAAAGCACTTAAAATATTATATTTTGGACAGGTACCTTTAAATAAAGTAACCAAAGTAGTCAATAATTAGGTATATGCACTACGTAATATTTATCGGCAATGCTCACGAAGTTATGGCGTCTTATTATATTCATATAATAAATCTGTATTATATATTACTCCGCACTAAAGAAAACAATAATTGAATGAGTCTCAGTCAAGTCATCTTTCAAAAAAAACGAAATAAACTCCTCTCTTTATGCAACATGCAACATGCAGGCGTCTATCTACCTAGAGTGCTTTCTATGTTCTTTTCTCTGTGCATGAGTCATTCTTATCTGCCCCCTGATATAATGAAAACAATTGTAGTGCCAATTCCTAAGGATAAGTCTGGCGATGTGTCTGATAAACGTAATTATCGGCCCATTTCACTAGCAACAATACTCGCGAAGGATCTGGGCAGCCTCTTGGATGCTCAATTGGGGAATATATTGCAGCTGCACTACGCCCAGTTTGGATTCAGACTATCAACTGAGAGCGCTGTCTTGAGCCTTAAGCACACGGTCCAGTGCGCAGTGCTACACTGAGCGTCGAACGCCTATTTATGCTTGTTTTCTAGATTTATCCAAGGCGTTCGACCTCGTATCGTACGATGTACTCTGGGCCAAACTGCGTGAGCAGAATGTACCGGCGGAGCTGCTTCGCATGTTCCAGTATTGGTACCTCCATTTTTTTTTATTTTTATTTTTTTTTTATTCGGTTCACAAAACTGGATACAACTCTTAAATAAAGCATAGCAGATGAGATAACATTATATGGCGAGAAGAGTGTGTCCTTCTTGATGTGAACACAGTGTTTCGTATATAAAGTGCTTTACAAAACTATAAGTGAGTCAAAATTTACATATCCAGTGTTATACAATAAATTTACGTATCTAGTGTTATAAATAAGAATGAGATAACCAAAAGCCACTACCCAATACACTTTCTAATAGAGTTTCTAGCAGAGGCCACAGAACCGGAGAATATGTCAAAATCAAATCTAACACCATTATAGCAAGAGCACATGCGATACACTGGACTGTGTTGACCGAGGTTGGTCCTACAAGTAGGAAATGAGAAAGTTTTGCGATTGATTAGGCGGCTTCCGGGACGAGGTACTGATATATACAGGCTTTCGAGTATATCAGGTGCATCAATGATACCATGAATAACTTTGAATAGAAACATCAAGTCGAGCGATTTTCGGCGTTTATGCAGTGAGGACATATTAAAGTAAGAGAGACGAGACTCGTATGAAAGTAACTGTTTACATTTAAAATTGTTATATGTTAGATGATAGAGGAATCGTTTTTGTACACGTTCAATTCTATCTGAATGGACTTGGTAACCTGGGTTCCAGACAGTGGAGCAGTATTCTAAAATGCTACGTATTAAACTGTTGTAAATTAAGATAGAAATTGCTGGTTCATTAAAAATTTTCATTTGTCTGGACACAAACCCGGTTAACCTTGAAGCTTTACTTATAATTGAGTCGAAATGATTTCGAAAACTTAGGGTGGCGTCCATGACAACACCCAAATCCCGAATACTGGTAATTTCCGTTAAGGGTGTATTGTTGATAAAATAAGTAATTATTAAAGGTTTTTGACGTCTGGTAAATTTGATGTGATAGCATTTACTTGTATTTAGAACCATACAGTTATCATAGCACCATCGATACAATCTGTTAAGATCTTCTTGAAGCAGCAGGGCGTCATTAAGCGAGTTGATAGCTCTGTATAGCTTTAAATCGTCAGCATACATTTTAAACTTCGAACACTCCATCAGGTAAACAGTGTGAAATGGGCCGATAAGCTCTCGGACTATATATAGGTTGGAGTGCGGGGTGAGGCAGGGTGGAATATCGTCACCGAAACTCTTCAATCTGTACGTGAATGATCTGATCGTTGGGCTCAGCAGTAAGCATATCGGATGTAGAGTACATGACATTAGTGTCAATAACATTAGTTACGCGGATGATATGGTCCTGCTGAGCCCAACGGTCAGAGTATTTGAGGTACTCCTGCATATGTGCGAAGAGTATGTGAAGTCACACGGCTTGACATATAATGTAAAAAAGAGTGTGATAATGGTCTTTAGGGCCGCCGGGGGCAAATTACCGAGCTATGTTCCACCCATTAAGATAAGCAATATAGAACTCGAGCGGGTCTATCAATACAAGTACTTTGGCCATTTTGTCTCCGACGACCTTAGGGACCTCATGGATATTGAGAGGGAACGCAGGGCGCTGGCGGTCAGGTGTAGGTGTATGGTGGTGCGAAGGTTTGCGCGTTGCAGTGAACAAGTAAAGATTCTACTTTTTAAATCATACTGCCAAGTTTTTTACACGTGCAGCCTTTGGACCAACTATACGCACAAAGCCATCAGCGCCCTGCGAGTACAATATAACAATGGTTTTCGTATGTTGTTGGGGCTGCCGCGGTTCTGCAGCGCGTCAGGCATGTTTGCACAGGCTCGCACTGATGACTTTTATGCCATTATGCGCAAAAAGTCGGCCTCACTGCTCTGCAGACTGCGAGCCAGCTCCAACCCAATACTGAAAACCATTGCCAGGAGAATTGACTCTCCCTTTATGAGGCAACTTTTTTCGCCTGGTTTTTAATTGCCTCAAATGTTCATGTTTTTATTTTAATTTAAATTTAATAATGTTTTAGATTTAGTGCCTACTAACATAATTTTTAAGAATAAAATTGTTACTAACACATGTGGACCAAATAGTTGTCTGAAATAAATATATTATTATTATTATTATTATTATTATTTATCCCGTTTAGATGATTAGAAACAGCCGTACACAGCAAAATTCATTCAACTGTTATAAATAGATGAAAAAAATGATGTTATATATAAACGTACAAATTTCGTAATGAATAAATAAAAACTATATTCAAATCAAAGCCGTCTTAGCGCGAAAATGGCTCGTCGACAGCCTTGTTCTCGTTCAGTCAATGTGACCGTCAATGTGCGGGGCGTGGTGTGGTATCTAAAGCTAGGGAGGGGCGGAGCGTGTCTTTTCTCGTTACCTACTTATTTGTTCTCTGCTTCGGTACAACGTTAAAATACGCAGCTACGCACACCGTTGCGTGGCGCAGAGCAGTGTGATAATGACCTTAAATCAATTCAGTTTCTTGTACAGATTTTTTTATATATTTAACATAACACTTGACTTACACAATAGACGAATGTAAGATGTGTGGGCGTGGATGTTCCTAAAACAAATAATAAGTAAGTGCTCAAATAATAATATATTATAGTAAAATTTGGCACCTAAAATGTGAGTGTAATGCAGTATGTCTACAAGGTTAATTAATAGTGAAAGAAACGATAGGATTCAATTAATTTTTCAGAGGTTTACCAATACAATTGTACATATAAATAGACCAATATCTTAATTAAATGCTGAATTAAGTTTTTCAAAATACTGCCGATTCACCGCTAAACGTTTAAATATTTAGAGCGATGCCACACGATACGTTGCGTGAACTTGCAAGACACTGCAGTACAACGGTACTGCATATAAATTAGAACTACATGCCACATGGTACGTTGAAACGGTGCACGGTGACAACACGCGGTGACGAAGCGGGCAGTGCGTTAGGGCGCGTTCCCATTATGTGGTAATGTTTTATTTATCGTTGGACATTCTGTCGCATCTAGCCAGTTCCCATATCATGACTATCTGTCGTGACAATGACGTGGACGTTTATTTTATCGTTAAACGACTATCGTGTCTAGTTGTTCCCACTAGATCGTAAAGATCATTTATCGGTTCACGACAACCGCCTTATCGTTTGCACGACAGAATCGTTTCAAGTTACGATTATCTGTCGTCACATTTTTATCGTGACGTTTTATTTATCGTCTGATGACCATCGTTCTAGCCCTTCCCATTGTCATGACAGTCAGTAGTCGTCGTAGCGACAAGAAAGTCGTGAACACAATTAATCGTGTTGTAGGTACTATATGTGAACAACTTCATTTAAATATACAAGCCACTACACTTTAAACTGCACGACTATCTGTCGTCACGACATAATGGTCATGATACCGCATTACTCGTGTGGCACTCGACGACGCGTTGAAATCATAGCGTTGCGATGACCCATCGCACCGGCAGCGCCCTTGTGATATCGCTCTAAGCGAGACACCACTTCCGCTCGGATATTCGACGTGAAACGCAAAACGTCTCTTTCACTCTCATTACATGGTCAATAAAGCCTTTTCTGATAAGCTTTATGCTATTCCGTTTCAATAATACAGGTGGCTCCCTGGTGTGTTTATTGTTTTAGCTTTTAATTGAGAAGTTCTCATATAATTGGTTTCCACTTAGGAACAATGCAACATCTAATTTATAGTTCAATAATATGTATATTATTATGTGGTTCTATGAAATGCAATGAGACATTGTATGTGTAACTCTGATTGCAAAAATAATTTCGACGATGGCTTGTACATACTCGTGTGAAGTTGACTACCCCCAACGGTGCCTAGAAACGACCCATACAGGTCGTTAGTATATCGTTAATATACGTTAGTATGCCCACTCTCGACGTAAGTATACCCAGGAAACAATTTTTTTTTAAACTTTTTGGGGTGGTCAACTTCACACTGCCACCCCAAAGCGGCTTTGATTGATTCTTTCTACGGCAATCATTAGTATATCGTAAGTATACGTAACTATACTCACACTCGTCGTAAGTATACCCGGATACATATTTTTTTTTAAATCAAAATGGGATGAATGGGTCAACTTCACATGTGAAGTTGACCACTCCACTTTGTTTTTTTTCAAACGGACCCGGAAACGGCTTGCGCAGGTCTATATAGTAAATCGTTAGCATACGTTAGTATACCCACATTCGACGGTATTGTCGTAAGAGAACGATGATTTGTTTCAAAAAATAATTACACCACCACAGAAAGTTATTAAAAAAAATGATTGTTCCCCGAGACACTTACATCGAGAGTGGGCATAATAACTTACATCGAGAGTGGGCACCGGTTATGGTGTGGTCAACTTCACACGAGTCTTGTAGACCTCGTATCACACCTAGATGCTGATCTAGCGATCGCTAACCTACCTTCAAAGCATTACAACCCTTAAAGTAAGGGTGAGGCCAGACGCAATTTGTGAGTTGTGAGACGCGTTTTTTGAGTTTTGTAGCTCTCATCTGAAATTCGATTGAAGCGTCACATGGGCGTATTTTATTCAGTTGCTTTTAAACGTTTGTACGGGGTGTTTGTGTCATATAGTCTAATAGATTCACTAACAATAGTATGCATTTATGAGGCATAAAAGGTACAGTTAGAAAAAGGAACTGGGTACATCCATTCAATATGAAAAGATTAAAGTGTTTCGTAAGTTTATGTGTCAACGAAACGTATAAGGTAACTACCACATGCCAACAAAAACGTTTCCCTCACCCATCCCGTCACCCGCACAAACACGTCACACAAGTTTTGGTGCAATTACAGGCACACGGGACTTGTCAACTATATGTATATATCTCAGGGTGACGGGCGCAGTGGTAGTGCCCCTCAGATCTTTGCAATTTGAAGCTCTGAGTGGCACTGCAACTGTTGTGGACAGGCGTGTAGCTTACCATCAGGCGCACGACTTGTTCGTCTCGTCACTTGATATTATAAAAAAAAACAGTGCGACCGAAATTCGGTCGTAATTACGTACGTGAATCGGCAGACAATTAATTTTGAGTCGTCGTGTGGTACAAACCGGACTTTTATATGAAACCGAATGCAGCGTAAACTACGCGAAACAAAAAATACCTAAGACTCACAACTCACAAAATTACGCTCGTCTGGCCATCACCTTAAAACTGCTTTCTTCAAGCCGTTGAAGAAAGAAGTAGTTGGTAAAGAAGAAGTTAGGTAGTAGGTAGTAATTGCTGTTGGTAACCATGATACTCACGAAGAAGCCAACGTAACTCTGCTTTTTCCTGATTTTGCCTGCATTTACATGAGCAAATTGCAAATGTGCCGTTGCGGTGCCGGATGTCTGCGACAATCTAGGACTGTGTTGACCAGAACTTAAACGTAACCTTGAGGACATCTCCGCAGTGCTACTAAGCTTTTAAAAAATATATCTTTTTTAAATAAAATTCATATGAAAAAAATCCGTAAAAATAGAAAATCTTATGCTTTTAACGTGATTTTCATAAACGACAATTTTTTGTCTTATTTTTCTTGTAATGCTGAGTTATATTCTCTCTGGTTTTCTCGGTCTAAAGAGAATTTTTAACTGCATCCGTCCAGGAGTAACGCAGCTAATGGGAGATTTAAATTTCTGCAGTGTAGCTATATAGTCGTCACGGATGTTTTACGTGCTGAGGCATAAAGGACTCTGCCCACTACATCATTCCATACCGTGACCGTAATCGTTACGACACATGCAAAATAATATTATTTGTATAAGTTAATAAGAAACGGCACTCACTAGAGGGGCTGCTGGACAAATTAGGTACATGCCAAGGACTTTAATCCGGCCCGCCGTCTCTTCTAAATTAGGGTTCGTGCAGCGTGCCGGCGATATGTCGCGACTGCGGTCGCATCGTCTGGCAACGATTTCTAACGACGAAATACAGTGCAGCATGCGGGCGACTCGCGAGTAGCGACTTAACACTACCGGCGACCGACCATCGACTATCGTACCTACAGGGATAATGGATATAGTACTACAACTTTTTTGTTGGAAAATTCCGTTTTACGAGTCCGTGCCATAAGAAGTTTTAATATTCAACCAATTTCTATTCTGTGGCGATTACGAACTGCATCAATTAACCTATCTGGAGGTCCCTTATTATAAGTTTAATTACTTATGTGATAATCTAATAATAATAGGAACATTAATTGATCATTTATTTAGTAGTCGCAAGCGACTAGCGACTGCAAGTTTCACGACCAATGGTCGCCAGTAGCGGGCACGCTGCACTAAGCCATTTAGTTCTGGGTACCTACATGTTAAAACAAGTCGCAGCGAGTCGGTGCGACCGCAGTCCAAAGTCAGCTTAGAAGTATATGGTCTCGGAAATATATTTTGGCAGCCCTGTTAATAATATGTACTCAAAATAATACTACGCTAGTTAAAAATATCAAAAAATGCATTTTTTTATTCTGGCCCTCTGTGAAATTTCTTGTTTTTCTGGCCCCTAACGAAAAAGTTTGTCCACTAACAATGTGTCATAGCGGGAACAGTAGTACTTACTAGTGCTTAGTCGTCTTTGTTTCGTGTCTGATTACTGTCTACAACGAATACCTAGTGATTTATTCGTTCTAGTCCATAGCATGTTCATGGTATAATATGAGATATCGGGTTTTTAGACTTTTAACGTTCACACAGCGAGTGACTGCTTAGGATTGGTCTATTTCCTGCTGCCTCCGTTGGCGAACGGTTACCATGCTGGTCTAAGCTGCCACTATGCAACACTGAAGTAAAGTGCTTTAAATATTTATTGCAGGAAGGATATCTTCGTCTTCATGGAAACATTATTTTATTTTTAAAATAAATTAGTATATGTATAAGTTGAATCTTGTAAGCATGGCATTGCACCAAGTGACGCGATCCGTTTTTTGAGTCAAATTGTGTGGGATCCACCGAGAGCACAGCTTTTTCACACCCAAATGTTTGTGTAGTATTGATTGTATTTAACTCATGCATATGCCTAAAGATGCCAGAATCTCCTGGTATGTCACATGCCTGTCTGTTTTGATCATACGGCGCACAGCATCGATGTTTTTGTTGTTCAAGGCAGTGGACGGGCAACCATCACGAAATTCGTCACTGAGATTCACAAGACGCGTTTGAATTTTGCAAACCAACTATAAATAGTCGTCTTGCATGGTGCTTCTTCGCCAAAAGCAGTTTGCGTGCGAAGCTCCGCTGAGCTGTTAAATTACACTTAAAGTCGTAGAAAATCATACTCCGAAAATTTTTACGAGTTAAATCCATGGTGATGTAGACAACCAATTTCTAAAATGACGCTACAATGTAAAAACAAGTGACAGCCAGATGAAACAAATTGTATTCTACATCCAAAGAATTCCATTTTCAAATGTTGTAATTACTTTTTAAATATTGTTTATATAAGTGGCCAGTCCCGGAAACTTATAGTGCGCCCTATGTATAACCAGAAATAGAGACGAAATAAGGGCCATCTATCCCTGGCAATTCATCAGGCAAATGTTCCTTAAATCACTTTTAAATATAAAGTCTCGTTTGCACGGAAATCACAAATTAGAAAGCTGAAATAGTACAGTGCCAATAACTAAACTGTGTGTACGTCTCCGTATATTCCAAAAATATTCTGTATTTATTGTAATAAAGATAATATCGCTAACAATGGGGGCTGTTCCATTCGGTGGTGTGGGAAAAATAGCAAAACTTTTAATTACAAAACAAACTTAATCACATTTCATTGGTAATTAAATATGAAGTAATTTTTCAATTTTCGTCTATTATAGCAAAGCTCAAGTTAAACTGGTAGATTTGAAATGAAACAATTGACGACACCCGTCAATTGTTTCGAATTCGGGCTGGCCAATCGGAGTGCAGTTGTCACCGTAATGATTTCGCAGAATAGTTTTCAAATTAAATGACATTGCGTGATGACGTAGAATGTTAAATTCAATTGTGCTCCTTTAATTTAAGATACTATGTTACGAAAAGGAATTTGTCTTTATAACTAATCCTTCGCATCACAAAAATACCCATTATTTTTACTAGTTCTGTTGTACAATTCTATTGACAGTACTTTTTTCCCATTTGTTCTGTTATTAAATAGACAGTTGTCTTCACAGAACTACTGAGAATTTTCTCTCCCATTAGTTCTATGCAGGGTTTTTTTTCACAATTGGTCGGTTCGTATCCCAAGTGAATCGAGAAACATTTGAAAAATTTAAAAATCTTTCAAAATAAAACAATATCTCCATGAAGCAAAATATCCTATCTCTATATATATTTAAAGAACTTTCCGTCACATAGCTGTGGGACACCCTGCTCATGTAACTTTGAAACGGCTGTGTGGACCGACTCAATCTATTTTTTTTACGACTAGAACCAACTAAATAACTACTTATTACTTGGCAAATCCAATTTAAAAAATGGACCACGGTCACTCTGGAATAAGGGAAGCAATGAAATAAAAACAATTATTACAATTAAAATTATATTCAATCAAAAATACCTTGCAATAACCTAAACTTATCCATAGGATTTCGGCTATTGACTTAGGCACTTGTTAATAGCAAAATAAACATAAAAGATAGATGTATAATTAAGTAAGTAATCGAAACTTTATTAGCTATATAAAATACTAAAAACGAAATAAAATTTAAATTATATTTAATCAAAAATACCTTGCAGTAACCTAAATTAATCTATACGATTTCGGCTATTGACTGAGGCATTTGTTAATAACAAAATAAACTTAAAAATCAGTGTATAATTAAGTAACCAATCGAAATTAAATAAATAGCTATATAAAATACTAAAAACCAAATAAAATTAAAAATAAATTTAATAAAAATACCTTGCAATAATCTAAGCTAATAATATTGCCATAGACACTTGTTAGTAACAAAATAAACGTAAAAGATATGTGCGTAATTAATAAAGTAATCGAAACTTTAATAGCTAATAGCGATATAAAACACTAAAAACCCAACCCGTAAAAAACCAAAAATGAAAACCAATCATACATTGAAGACTATAAACATACGCACTTATTACTGTTTTCGATCGTTGATATTATTTATGAAGAATATTTTTTACGAGTTAAACTGTAAGATTGTTTTCTTTGCTCTTCGCTGATGAACTCCTACTAAATAAAAAAATTGTACCCAATTTCTACCCTAATTTATTGGCATAAAATTTCTCTGAAGCTAAATTAATTTATAATCATAGTAATTATTCGCTAAAACGTATTTTTTAGCGAATAATAATATAATAATAATAAAATATAATAATAATAATTTAAAGATTTCGGCAGACGTCTATGGCTCAACTCACACTGGCGTAGAGTCGAAGCGTCGCGACGCGTCATGTTTTTCGCCAATAGCATATTCATCTCTATTTTCCCTGTATTAAGGTACAAATTTGTGTTATGCAAATATGGGATTTAGTGCACATCCGTCATATTCCAGTTACGTCAGAAATAGTTTTTTTCATGATTTCAGTTCAGGTTCATCAGGAATGACGAATGTGGACAACCAATAACGACATTTTCGTCAAATTCCACTTTTATCATATGGATTTAGTACACATCCGTCAGATTCCTCTTTAGTCAGATCATTTCTTTTACAAATTCTTTAAACATAGGTACTAAATAGTACAAAAAGGTACGAAAGGTTAGTTGGAAGAAATCTCTTTATGGGATAAGCTCGCCTTTGTACACAAATATTTAAATTGTTTCTGAAAATTTGTAAGTTACTTTGTGGTACAATAAAGTGTTTAAATAATAATAAATTTTGATACAATTTTGTCTGGATTCGTTAAAATACACCCGCCATTCTGACTCTCAAAAAAAGAATTGACAAATTATGAGAAAAGCGGAATTTGACGAGAGTTCATAAAAAAAACTATTTCTGACGAAAGCGGAATATGACGCACAAGGAATCACGATAATTACTGTTTCGTTACCAGCAACAAATTTCTGACCTATACGAAATAAAGAAATGTTCTGAAGCGGACACCAGCCCGTTACACCAAGTACTAAGTACCAAGTATGATCTGACAAAAGAGGAATCTGACGGATGTGTGCTAAATCAAATATGGAGCCAATCGTCGACGCGCGTCGAGGCGTTGTGGTCGAAAAACAGGACGCGACGCGACGCTTCGACTCTGCGCCAGCGTGAGTTGAGCAGAACTCATAGGAGTTCTGCGATAAAACGTCCACTTCAATTAACAGTAAACAGTGTTCAGTTACAAGTAAGAAAAGGTGAAAAGGATTCTCTCCTAGACGTGTGACGATCAACATACATATATCACCTACGCGTAAGTACCTTTGGAGTAAAGGTGCTCTTGGAAATAGGTATAAGGCAGTATCAGTATTTTATTGTGGGCTGACCATGTGTTTATTTCTTCTTACGCTTCTTCTTCTTGTCTACTTTGAACGGTCCAAGCTGCTTTCTCACGAGTAGTCCTCTCCACCAGGCCTGAATCATTACTGCACAGCGAGTCATGTCGCTGAAATACTTCTGAGCTTCTGCACGTTTGCGTTTGAATTCGGTCCAATCCCACACTTCTTTTTCATGCAATTTTATCTGTAAAAGAATAATTCAACGTAGACCGACCATTAAATTTTTGTGCAGTCATACTGCTAAAAAATTTCATGTCAGTATTTATTTTAAAACCTTCGCGAGAGGAAAACCGTACCCAGCAGTGAGACGAAGAAATGGGCTTATGATGATTTATTTTTAACCGAACGAAAGGATGGAGGTTCTCAATTTGATTGCTCCGCCATTTGTGAACTGATTTCGAAATTTATTTTCTTGTTGATTGTGGTCCCATCTTATTTGAAAAAATCACCAAATCAGGTTTATTGAATTTCACCCACTTTCCGTTGACTGATTTAAAAAAAAATACAAGGCACACAACGAATGTAATTCCAATGAAAATAATATATTATTCAGAAGTATTACAATAGATATTCGATTCGGTAGTAATTGCTAATCCTGTGCATACCTAAACAAAAATTGAAAGAACAAATGGCGTATTTCTTTAGTGTCATACCATAATCTATCGATAAGTGATTGTCGACATGCAAACATTTAATTAAAGTAGATTAATATCCCATTTGAGAAAATTTTAGGTTATATGGGAATATCCGGGAATGTCACATGAAATTTAGAATTCATTGTTTTGCGTTTACAAATACTCAAATATTACGAAAAGTGAATTTGCACAAAAAAAATGTAATTTGAGAGTATATAAAAAAAGAAAACTTTGAAATATAACTCCTATACATTTCCAACCTCAAGATCATTGACCTACTAACAAATGGACATCGGGTTCGCGCTAAAAAGTGTCCGCACCTATAGGACGTTAAAATCGCATAAAGAGCGTCAATCGCGCAACAGTCTTCGTTTATTCGACTGACAGCGCGGTTGTGAATCATGCAGTATCATTTAATAATAACTTGTAAAAAGCACTGCAGTAAAGTATAAAAACTGGATTCTGTATCATATTTTCACTAAACAAATGTATTGTGTTATCATAGTTATCATTTAAAAGTGTTATTTTGTACAGTTGTATAGTATTTAATTTATATACAAATAAATCGTAAATATAAATTACAAAAGCAAACAAAATAATCAAATAGCTAACTGTCCTTTTTCTACACATTGCATACGCAAAAGATGGAAAGAGACCCATTACGTCAATTTCAAGAAGCCTATATAAACTTCTTGGTCATTTTGAATTATTCGAACCATAAGCGATTGAAATATTTGGAACAAAGAAACTATAGAGTCGTCTTGATTTTCATCTTATTTTTTAGAATGACTTTTTATCAAACGTTAACAATAACTAACAAAATATTGTTGTACTCGTTTTACGATTAGGGATTACCTATCAGAAGTCACAAAATACATTTGCCCGAAGTAACGTTAGCTCTAATTTTCATAATGTCAAATCTATTTTTTTAGGAATATTACAAAACAAAAGCTAATTTTGGCTTTGTGTGAAGCATCAAAATTACTTGAAAATGTAACTTGTTTTATTATAAATCGGTTTTCGGAATTACGGATATTTGAGCTTACGTTTAGTTGAAATATCGGTACATTTCTTATAGTACACCAAATTATAGTGCCCAATTCTTTATTATTTCTTGAAGTGAATTTGTACAAAATTTGACATAATAATATACATAAAAATTAATTGATATTTACAATAAAGGCTGCTCCATTACTGTAGTGTTCTAGTAATTTTCAGTCGAAGCTAAATATGGTGCATTTTGTTAAGTTTCCAATATAAGCTGAATATGGTGTTT